GTGGGAGGGTGGGTGAAGAAATCCACCAGGAACCGCTTCTCTCGGAGGGAAATACTTTGAGAGCGTAGCATCCATCTCAGCCACGCTTCTCCTGCATTGCAGGGAAATCTCTTGCATGTCCAAAAAAATCTTTGAGCCTGCATGCTGGGTACTTGGTCGGTTCATTATGTCAAAATCAGGCAGGAACAGACCCAGGGTGCAGGCTCCAAAAGTAGAACAAAAAAATGTTTATTTAAGTAACAAAAAAACTGCTGTAGAGACAGCTCAAACTTACAGCGAAGTACGAGGATCACACAGGCAGGGGGAACAGAACACAATGAACCGACAAAAGACTGAGACGAGACAGGACTTAAATACACTGAACTAATTGATGAACTGAAAACACCTGGTGAGAAACACGAGGGTGACAATCAGACTCATGGGGAGCAGCTGGGCAGAGACACTGGGGAACATAGAAAACACTAGGAAAACTAAGGTGAAAACAGACAAACCATGACACCACTTATGATATCAGAATGATTCAGGTATCAAAATGAAGCTTTGAAAGCCAGCAATCTGAAAATGTATTAACTGTATTTATTCAAGTATAATACGTAAAATTTAATCCATAAAATCATCCATAAAGTTGGGGGGGTAGTATTATACTCGGATAAATATTTTTACTTATGTATTTTAACCGAAATATCGGCTTAATTCACAAAATGCCTCATTCCGGAAATGAGACTACAACATAAAAAGCGGCGGAAGCTAGCTTACCTGTGACACTCTGTTGTGATTCAAAGCGAGATAGTAACAGATCCAGGCAGGCYACATGATGTGAAAAAAAGGGGGAGGGGGGGGGCAGTCCTTCGCCTTAGTAATGATAACGAACTAAAGACATTAGCGTGTGACCGAGCCGCTACTGGTACAACAACAAACACGTTCGTCTGTAATGGCTGGCTGCCATCTACTGGTGTTCTGAAAAGGTTTGTTTCCCTGAAAAAAGTTTCCCCACCTGAGGGGGCGCTTGAGTAGGAAGTAATCTGCTTTTCTCCCAGACGATGGTCCAAATCTCATGTGAAGTCTTTGATTTTTGTACTGGCGCTTCCTGGTGGACTATGTGTAAAATGCCAGAATTCATATGATGCTGCTACAGCTGATGTATAGTTGTGTTTAGGGGTCGACCGATACATCGGCCGGCCGATATTTTTGGCCGATATTCACGTTTTTCCTTTGTATCGGTATCGGCCGATACGCGCCTGCTCTG